ACGTCATTAAAATTACTCTAAAAGTGCAGTTTACATTCAGCAGGCTAACCAAAGAGAAAGGCCACCCATGTACTTTGTGTGTATTCACATTCATAAATCCCCTTGTACGGTATATATCATGACATGTTAACAAAACATCTACTCGGTGACAAACAAATGCAAGCTTTTCTTCAGTATCAACAGTCATTATTTAAGTATGTTTATGTCTTGCTGGAATAATGTGTGCAATCAACTCAATTAAATTACTAACATGCAAAGACATAGCGTAAGGCATAACCTGTTGCAAACTCATAACTTTCCCAAACTTTTGTAAATGGATCCAAATGTATGTATGTATTGTAAAAACATTGTTGACATCTTCTGTTACATACATTAAACAGTATTAGTCAAGCAGGCCCTCTAACGATGTCTAATTCAAGGGGGAATTTGTGCCCTTCTCTCTTTGCAAGTTTCTTGAGTTTAAAAAAGCAACCACATTTCTTATCTTTGTTGAACTCCAATGGTCTCATTCCTCACTGTATTTTACAGAACCACGCCACGTTGTGTCAATGTTCACTCTATGCAGAAAGCTAACTTGTATTAGTAAAGTCTAATAATTTGAAGTTATTAGTGAAGTTCACTCATGAACCGAGGCGTAAGTACTTTAAAAAGCTGAAACCAGAGTGAGGATGAAGGCGGGGTCTCAACAGCTTAGAAACATTAAGGAGTTTGTCTGACATCCCTTTTCATTGGATTCCTTGCCCTTTCGGAGAGCATGTCAGAGGCAGACCGAGGACAGTGAAACAAAGTACTGAAGCAGTGTATCTGCACAAGAAGAAGAATGGCTCTTCCGTCCACAAGGTAGGCATTAACATTCATACAGTTTGTATATTACTTTCTTAATGTTTTAACACGATTGACAGTTTGAATGTTAGCATGGGTTATAAATAAGGTTCAAGGCTTTTTTTTTGTCATTTATACATACTGTAGCTACAGTTTAGTTATGACAATGAAAATCTTAGGTCACAGGGCAAGATGAAACAGATCAAATAGTGCAAGTAAATCAAATCAAATAGAATATAATAGAAATAGTGCAGAATAGTCAGTAAAGTAATTGGAATATTGATAGATATAAGTTGCAAACAGATGGATGTTATGGATGATGTTCTTTCAAAAGTTCAGGTGTTCAACAGTCTTATGACCTGTGGGATGAAACTGAAATTTGGTTGAATATCGGCACCACATTTAGACACAGTCTGTTAAAATGGAAGACAGTATATATGTTTTTTCCAACAAATGAACAGTTCTCTAACTGCATAGTTTGTGTCTCAACATGTTATTATTAGATGAGGGTTAGATGTTAGACGATGGTGAGGTGTGTACCATGTTGATGCATTTTAGAATTACTCTTGATGCATTTATATTGAAAACATTTAAAATTGTAAATCAGAGGCAGGTTTGGACATTTACTCAACTACTGTATTAAAATGACGGTACTTGTACTTTACTTGAGTATTTAGAATTTCTGCTAATGTATACTTCTTTACCGTTAATCTGCATATACAAATATGATCAAATATTAAAGAGAACAATCCCAAGAGGGCAGGGGGATCCCTTGGATTCCACTTCCAAAATCGTCAAAAGTCAGTTTGCTCAGAGTAAACCTGTCAGAGCATGTTTGCTCTCCAGCGATTCCTTATTTTGCTGAAATTCAAGATATGCTATAAAATTCCACAGAATGAATGACACATTCAAAACATTTATAGCAGGATAACAGCCTGCCAAGTTGTCGTGGGGAGAGACATAAAAAGCCTGCAATAAAAGTTATTCAGAAAAACATTTCATAACTTTTTGTTTTGCTTATACATAAACATACATGTATAACATCCTTATTATTATTTTGTCACCCTTTTTATTCATCATAAACTAGTCTGGCACCTGCATTACACTTGGAATACAACTATTTAACATTGTTCAGTGTAACTGTGTATTCAAGCATTATCTCAGCATAACATATTTCAAAGAAAATATTGAAGTTACCTTGAATTTGTGTTTGTTGAAACGTTTTGTCTTGTTTGCCTTCCTCTTACTTCCACAGCATCCTCGCTGACTTCAACACTACACCTATAAATGGAGAGCAAAACAACACGAATGGGAGTCAGTGTTATAGTGACGCACCACATTTTTGGCACACCTCCATGCTGCCGGTGAATATCCTGCTCGTCGCTGTGCTGGGAATTGTGTTGAATGTGTTTGTCCTCGGGGTTTTCTGTCTTCATAAGAAGTCCTGTACCGTGGCTGAGATCTACTTAAGCAACATAGCTGCTGCGGACCTCATCCTGTCGTCCTGTCTGCCCTTCTGGGCTGTGAATGCAGCCAACAAATTCAACTGGCCCTTTTCTCATCACCTGTGCCGACTGGTCAACTTTAGCATCAACATGAACGCCTACTCTAGCATCTACTTCCTCGTTTTGATAAGCATAGATCGTCGCATGGCACTGACGGACCCTCTGTCCCATAAAGGAATATCAAGGCCAAAATATGCCAAACTGGGCTGTGTGCTGGTGTGGGGTTTCGGCTTGCTCCTAAGTGTCCCCACACTTGTCTTCAGGGAGGTGAAAGATTTCCCTAAAATACAATTTAATATATGCCATATGGCTTTCCGAAATCTCACTGAAAGGGCTGTGTTTGATGTGATGCAGATTACATTCAGCTTCATCATCCCCTTTTTCATCATCCTCTACTGTACTATACATATTCTTCAAGCTCTGAACAACCGGATATTGGAGGGGTTAAACCGCCAGAAGAAGGAGCAAAAGACCACCACTCTGGTGCTGGCGGTCCTCCTGGCGTTTATGATCTGCTGGATGCCATTCCACGTGACAAAGATATTACATTTGCTGAAAGAAACTGAAGTCCTGACAGGGTGTAGCTTTGAGTACGCCCTTAACATCTGCAGCCATGTCTTCGTGTACCTCGCCTTCTTCAACAGTGTTCTCAACCCAATCCTCTACGTAATTGTAGGACAACAATTTCGGCAAAAAGTGAGGGGACTCTTTAAACAGTTGAGATCTACCAGAAAATCGTCCGTTAACATCTCATGCACAAACTCAACCCGGATGAGTAGTGTTAGACCTCAGTTGCCTGTACTTACCTTCACATAATGAAGTTATTAGTCATGTTCCCCGAAGAAGATATGGAACAGTAACTTAGTAATTTAGAGTTTAGTCAGAATACACATTAAATACAATCCTGTCTGATGAGAGGATGTTGTCTCATACTCAGACCTTACTTTTTATTTCAGAATTAGATTGGTCTCTCCAAACAGTTTCCTTCATCTTATCTTCTGGGCAACAGTAGGAAACCGAGGGGAAGGAGGAGAAAGATAACCATAATATTTAGCAACATGTAAGCGCTACTAACATTAATAGACCAGAGGAAATCAATGTTGTGGTCACCTTTTAATGCATGGGGTTATTACAGGATATGGGAGGCAATTTTTATGCCATTAGTAATGTAATTTTCAAAAGAGATGGAGTGTTTCCTTGTAAATGCATGTTATGAAGTCTTTACATGACACATCTTCTGTGTGTGCATGTCTGTGCATATGTGCTTCTGTGTACTGTCAAATGCTGTTGTTCTTACAGTCTTTATTATATTTTTTATATTTTAATGTACATCCGAAAAACAAACCCTTTATTTTTTTAACTATTTGTCTCTGTCATTGTTACTCATGTTTCCTTTATTCGACTCCAGAACATTAATCTGGTAAGGTTTGACTTACACAGTCAGGTTGGTATTTTTTTACAATGTGAACAATGTTCTCTACGTTCCATGAACCACCTCTGTGTATCAATTGTTAAACTATTTGTTAATTAATTGTAATACCTGGAGAAACATCTTTTGCCTACCTATGAATAAATGTACACCTATGTCAGTGTATAAAGACAGGTTTTTTTTTTAAATGTTTTGCTTTTCATGATGTATAAAGTTAAAAATCTGTTAAGAAGTTAATTTAATTCATCAAGCAAAAGGCTTTTATAAGTATTACTTCACATTGGTTCTTATTTTCATAAATGTCTTTCCTGGTTATGATAACATTTTAGTTAAAAATGAATTCCTGCTATTTGTTTATACAATGTCATTACTTTACATCTGAATCATGCAGTTTAAATCAAGCCAACACTATAGCAAGATGATCACTTTTAAAAAAAAGTTTATTTAAAATTGAGTACACCCAAAATGTGATAAATAATCTCGCATTGGGTGTATGCATGCCCAAGTTATAATAAGGTCAGGGTTGGACTGAGCTGTGAGTCTGCTAACTTAACCAACCGGTTTTCTTATGATCATAAAATGTGTATTTACTGAGTTGTTCCATGTAATTCCTGACGTAAGAAAGTAGTGACAATAAAAGCAATGAGTCAGACTTAGTGATAAAATCTGTGTGATTGTGAAAGCTGTTGGTTGTTTTTAACCTGGAACGTGTGTATTGACGTTGCACTGTTCCCAGAACTTAAGTCATTGAATATAACACTTTGCAAATGCAGGAGTAGCCAAAAAAAAAACACAAGAGAGTGACATTAGAGAATAACTTAAGAAAAGCATCCACACTTTCACACTCCAGATATATTCTCTTCACCAAACTTTAACTCCAGCTACTTAGTCTTATTTGGTGAGCTTAGATTCCTAATTATTGGATAAGTAAACATTCAACCCTCTCAGCCCTCTCAGGCTTTTTAGCGTCACATTGTAAGTGTAGACAACAATCCGCCCCCTATTCCGTGTTGCTGTATGGCCGGCCCTTTATTCCTGGCTTGCCTGAGGAGCTTTGCCAAATTTCCTATCCAAATGATATACTTTTAATTAAACGTTAAAAACATTTTTAATGAAATAATAGATAACTTTCTCTATAGATCATGACATCTGAGGTTAATGGTAGAACTATTGTAGCTGACAACACAGTGCAGTTTCCATTTAATCCTACAAACACTCAGGTACAATGTAATGTTTTGGTTGACCTTATCATGATCTTTGAAAGCTGCATATAATTACAGATAACTACAATGAAAGCATTGGATGACGTTTAGATTATTAGCATGGCCAAATATTTTTCAGCAGGAACTATTTGCATTGCCAAGCTTATCTCAATTCACTAGAATACAGGGCTCTCCATTTCAATCCACATTCAGGTTTGGTCATCAACACACGAGGATGGACGCAGCTCCTGTTAACCAGACTAACTCATCTACCTCCTGCACCGTGGAGTCCTCAGTGGAAACGTACATGTATCCAGCTGTTTATTCTCTTTTTTTTATTGTGGGCTTACCGGCTAACTGCCTGTCTTTGTATGTAGCCTGGATGCTGATGAGGAATGGCAACAACATGGCAGTGTACCTCTTCAACCTGTCCATCTCTGACCTGCTCTACACTATCTCTCTGCCTGTGTGGATAGAGCTGGCCCTGCAGAGACCTCTCGGTGGCCTTTGCAGTTTGGTGGCAGTGATCATGTACAACAGCTTCTACGTAGGCTCGGGCCTCCTTTGCTGCATCTCTGTTGATCGCTACCTAGCAGTGGTCTATCCTCTCCACTTTCACTGGGTCAGAGAGGTGCGGACAGCAGCAATAGTGAGTATTGCCCTGTGGACTCTGGAGATTACCATTCATATTATCTTGCTTGACCACACGGGGGCACTGCAAGCTTTCTCCTCAAGAAAAGTATGTGAGGAGCGAATACCCATGACACAAGAAGACGTCAACCTCGCCATTACACGTGTCACGCTGGGTTTCTTGGTCCCTATCTTCATCATGACCTTTTGTTTTCAGCAGATCATGCAATCGCTCAAAAAGAGCACCTCAATCCAGACAGTGGAGCGCAGGAAAGTGGGACTGCTGCTGTTTTACCTTCTTCTAAGCTACATAGTCGCTTTTATGCCCTACCAGATTGTCATGCTGCTGAGAGCCATACTGGAGCCAGGGACCTGCTCCTGGGCCACAAGGCTTAGAGATCCATACCTGGTCACTGTCGCCACGACAACCATAAACAGTACACTGGATCCCATAATATACTGTTTAATCAGCGAGAGCGCTCAGAGAGAGTTAAGGAAAGCTGGAGAGAAATGTTGGGGAGTTTTTCTGAGAAAGAAATTGTCAGGGAGTTCTAATCAAATTCATTCAGTTTCCTAACCGAATTATCTATTTGTTTACATTTTAACCCATAATTGCAAATCAAATTAAATGTTAATGACAATATTGTATTGATGCGAGGATGTCTTAGATAATTTAGAAGAGCCCAGTGCTGTTTCTATCCAGGAAGGAAACTAAAATGTATCCTATGTAGGGATAGTACATTTATAATACTTTAAATATAAATAGAGTCATTTACATTTATATTTACATACACAGAGATGTTGTATTTCCACTTCTGAGTGGGTATTTTATAACTGTAATGTACTGCTTTGTTTGATTTTGAACAAGATCATATTGGCCTTTATTTAATTAATTGATTTTATGTCTGATAATAAAACTTGAAAAGCAGGAAATCTAAATAATTTTCATTAAAGTTAATTTCCTTTTTGTGGGTTGGTATTACTTTGGAAGATCATTATTTTATTAGTTAAACTTTGATTGGCTAATAACATTTTTACTCAGAGCAAGGAATGTGGATTTTGTCCCCCTGTCACTTACACTGACATTTCTTTATGAAGGGATCTCCTTGTAGGCAGCTTGGACCGGATGTAACAGCAAACAAAAATACTTTAAATGTAAATATAGACTTGTTAGAATAAGAAAAGCTCAAAAATAATGTATGTGCCTATCATTTAGGAGCAGGTAGGCTCAGCCAACATTATTACGCTGTGGAAAAAATAAGTCAAACAGCCTTTATCAGACACTAATCAGCATCACCTTTACCCGGGTTCATGTCTATGTTGACACACCAAACATGAAGACAAGCAGTGTCATATAGGCTTAGTTATTAAATTAAATCTGACATGTGGTCTGTTACACCGGTAGTTTGTTCTGCCATGGCCTGTCACCCAGAGTAAGACATACGGTACTCAGGGACGACTCTTCCTGTTCCTCTGATCCGCCTGACCAAGCAGTGGAAGAGGAGACAACCGAATGAATCCACTCTGCATCTGCTTTAATGTTTTCATGTTGCTCTTAATTACTTTTATGGACATAATTTGGAGCGGAAACTCTTCTGAGTAAAGAGTAAGTAGATCTTTATACGAGTTCAATTTAATTTGTGGTTTATTTGATCTGGCTAGAGGAATAAATGAATGTTTATGGTGCATTTGAAGCCTAAGTATAACAAAGGTTGTTCATGTTCTAGCCCATTAAGTAGCCTTTTATTAGTTATTGCTAACCACTCAAAATGCATTAGTTTTAGATTATTTCCCACCTTCCAGGGGTCTATTGGTTTTGATGCATTTCAGAAAAGTAAAAAAAAATACTTTTAGTCTTGATTTTATGTAGATAGTCTATGATAGCAAACATCTGATCAACAATTGCTTTTGTCAGACCATGTTTTTGTAATGCGGAAATGCAGGATGTGTTGTGAAATGACCCTCTTCCATAAAAGTGCAACATTAGAGATTTTAAAACGACACACTACTAAGTTTAAAGTAGACGACTACTAAAGCCAAATGTTCCCTGGAAGGTGAACAAACAAGACTTTGTCCAATATGTTAGTTAAGGAAAAGCAATCTGTGATTTATTTGTTAATACAAGTGAATCTTTTGGGAATTTAAACAGTCGCTACATTAAGTATGTCACTGCTATGAAGTTGCGAAGCTCAGATAAGACCTATAGGTTTTTTAATATCAAATTATAAAGTAGCAGAGGCAAATATATTTGAACTTTTGTTTCTTAAGCGTGTCATAATTCTGTGGCGCAGTGGATAGAGCCTTGGTGTTGGGATCAGGGGGTCACAGGTTCAAACCCCACTCATGTCGTTGTGTCCCTGGGCAAGACACTTCACCCCAAATTGCTCCTGTGGGGATTGTCCAGAGTATTGAGTATGTAAGTCGCTTTGGATAAAAGTGTCTAATAAGTAACATGTAATGTAATAATAATTGAATTTGACATATTTGCTTATTTCTTCCCTTGTTTCTCTGCAAAGGTATGAGCACATAAACTCCACATCTGCAATGGAAAACTTAACCCTGAGCTCAAATCAATCAGAATGCTACCCAGTTGATAGCACTTCAAGGAGGAGGTCGTTTATGTTTTTCTACCTGGCTATCATCGTCACTGCCATCCCATCCAACGCCTTCTCCCTGTACGTGTCGTGGCAGCACATCAGACAGAAGAACGGTCTCGGTGTGTATCTATTTAACTTGGCGCTGAGTGACCTGACCTTCACCATCGGCCTTTCCCTGTGGTTGGACTTTCTGTGGAAAGGACTTTGGATCCACGGAGGCTACGTTTGTATGCTATCTGTCTACTTCCTCTACACTAACTTTTACACCAGCGAAGCTCTCCTCTGCTGCATCGCTGTTGACCGCTACCTAGCAGTGGTTCACCCCTTTAAGTACACTTTCTTGAGGAAAGTGAATACTGCAGCAGCAGTTGGTGTTGCCATTTGGTTGTTGGTGTTCTGTTTCAACGCTACAACCATCTCTTGGGAGGACTCATACCATGAGTACAACAAGTTTGCAGTGTGCTTTGATATTTTTCTCCCGCTGTCAAGGAACCTTGTCTGGGCTAATGTAGCACGCTTTATCCTGGGCTTTATTATTCCCTTTCTCCTGGTGGTGTTTTCCACCTGGGGGATCTGGGAGGCCGTCAAATCCAATCAGGCCACAAAGGAACGAGAACGTAAACGTATTCTAAAGCTGCTGACGGTAGTTCTGCTCTGTGTTTTGTTCTGCTTTGGGCCTATCCACGTCATGATGCTCCTCTGCACACAAATGGATGACTGCAGGGAGGTTGCATGGCTCCTTTACCCATACAAAATCAGCTTAGCTCTCTCCAGCTTAAACTGCCTTGCAGACCCTCTCCTTTACTGCTTTATTACTAGAACGGGGAAGGAAAATGTCAATCAAGTTGTTCTATTCTTCCAGGTAAAGAAGAGGAGCAATGATGAAGATGTGGTGTAGTTTTAAAAAAAGTAAATAGCTAAACTATATGACAAATGCGTGGTAAGCTTTAGAGTTAGAGATTAAACTATATGATCCTGAAGTTTGTATCAGTTGCAGACACAAATGTGAGAAAGTTGTCAACTGGTAAAGATTGTCAGCTATTACGCGACAAAGTTGGCAGTGTTGGCAATGTTGATATGTGTCTCGTTGACGACAAATCTCATTACACTAAACCAAACAATGGGTTACTCTGTCTCTAAAACAACTTCCTGGTACCGGTCTATGGCACCCGAATCCCAGAAGAAGTGTTGGAAGAAGTATTCTGTTTTGTTTTTCTTAGAGTTAAAATACTTTTAACATTCTGTGAAAAAGACAATCCTGCATTCAAAATCTTATTTAAGTCAAAATATATAAAAAGTATTATCAAAAATATGAGTACTCCCTGCTGTTATGGTCCCTTGATGTCAGTCTTTAAAAAAGAAGAAGTTTAACTACTGCACATAATAAGTCTCCTTAAGTAGGTAAAATTCTGTTTTTAGGATGTGTGCCGTGTCACACTTCGACCTTTCGACACACACATACATCGTTCTGCACACACCAACATGTTTAAACTTGACAGTTTACTTTGCTTGTACTGTACACCTCTGCTATCACGGCAGACAGCTGTGTATACAGTTCATCAGCATGGACTTACATGCAACAGCTGTTCCAAGGAGGAGTATTTGTCTAACATCAAAGCTATTCTTTTATATAAAATGCTCTCTATATAAGAACGAAATGCAAATTTGACACCATTTGTAGTTTGAATAAAACATGTGTAGGAAAGTAAAATAACAAACCCATTGACTTTAATCACTGGGCTGGGCTATGACCACAAATTTGACTGGGGTTCCATTTAAGCTTATCTTACAACACCATTTGAATTTTGGCCAAAAACAAACGAGTGGTTGTCAAGGGAAGTGTATATTTGAGTCAATTATTTTCTCCTTTTCGAAAGAGCTATTTCCATTAAAGAAAAAAGGACATATGCATCACTCACTTCGAACAAATGGGAATCTAATGAAGTTGCAAAAAGAAAGGCTCTTTTCAGTAAACAGAGAATTGTTTTTATAAACTGGTCAAATGTGTGGCAGACTAAATGTGGATATATGTGGCTCTCTAGTGGACAATTATAGTAGTGCAGCAAACCATTTACACTGCAGCGCTTACACTTTGAACAGTGGTTCATTACCATTTGCACATATTGTTTTATGACGCAACCTGTAGTGTTTTATGTACTCCAATTAAACCGCAAATGGTGAATATGTGTCTTGTCTTTTTTTAATAACATGAGTGAGGATATAAAAGGTGGCCTTAGGTGGTCATTCTGGTGTGTGTAAAACACAGAAACAATACACAGTCATGCAGCTCATACACACATGCATGTACAAACATACAAACACACATGCACACACAAACTTTGCAGGTATTAAAATGACACACAAAGTTAACCTATGGAGACCAGATTTATGTTTCCAGATGACAGGTGAGTCCCATTAATGTACACTCACAATAATAATAATAATAATAATAATAATAATAATAATAATAATAATAATAAAAACATTATATAGCGCTTTTCCTGGTGCTATTATATTATGTAATGTATTAAATGACATCCTCAGAAGTGGGCAAATCTGCAAGATTCCCCATCTAACATTTCCCGTGTTTAAGATTGGACCTTCATAACAACAAAGTCAGGCAAGGAAAGGTGTCCTTCCATGTTAGTCCTTGTCTTGCCTCTTTATTCCTTCCATCCATTCATCCATGTCAGATAATATGCTTCACCTATCGCTAAATAACCAGATGGAGGTTATAAAGCCCATTCGAACATCCATCTTCACCTCTAACCTTCTAGTGTCCTTGACTCTGTAAGAGACAGCCTTCACTATGTAAAGCACAGGTAGGGATAGAGTTAGCTGAGGATCAATGGGCTTCTTAACCTCTTAAGCCCTGAGCTTGTTTTTAAGGTTTCAGGCTCGAAAATGCTATGCCCAAAACAAATGACTATAACTTAACTTATAAAAGGGTTATATGAATAATTTCTTTTATCAAAGCAAGGTTATATCTGTGAGTTGGATGTAGAAGTGTCAGAATCAATATAGATGTTTCTGTGTCAGAGTAAATTCAGATGGAACATAGTAAAAAAAGGTAAATTCTAAAATCCGCCTAAAAAAACCCCATTACTTATAGTGAAAACCACCCTTGAATGATGGTATGGTAGACTAAAAGCTTTAGGAATCCAAAGTATAACACATAATAACTACCCTGTATCAATATTGAGGCAAAACCAGTTAAATTTGACCTTTTTAGAGAGGTTTCTTTGGGCACATTTTGGCACATTTGGATACCATCAATGCCGTTTGACCTTTTTCAGGTACCATACTGAAAAAAAATGTTATTATCACTATAGGTAATCATTCCATCCAAATAGAAGTGTTTTTATAAAAAAGAAATATATTTTTAATTTTTTTTAAATTACATTTCTTTTTTTATGTAAATGGTGTGTGTGTGTGTGTGTGTGTCTGTGTGTGGACTTTGACACAGTCCTTACATGTTTATCACCCGACTAACACTTCTAGGAAGGTTTACTTACACAATAATAATTATTATTATTAATAATATTCAGAGCTTCAACAGTTGCTTAATGGTATGAGGGTCTGCTCCTTCTCAGGCATGATGAATGGTGGTCTTTTTTGTGTAGTCACATTTAATGAAGTATGAGGCTTGTTGGAATAACTAGGCAAAGTGTACAAAGCAAGTTGCAGTACTGTAGATGATGCTTTGTTCAAAGTGTTGGGGTAAAAAACATCAACAGTGAATCCATCTGTATTGACTAGATTACTCCTGGTATCTTGACATTAAAAAGATCCACCTCTTTGGTTGGAAAACAAACACATCTCGAATCAGGATGCACAGCCACATTTTGGCACAGCCAACATCGCGATGTTGGCAGGAAGGCTGTGGGGGCGGTCATAGTAACGTACACAACCATGTGCCTCAATCTAAACTGAATACGCAGATGTGCTGAAGAAAGGAAACAGATGGAGAAATAAAGTCTAGAGTCGTGATGTCAATGTTGCATAAGCCATTTGTTATGTAAACTTATAATATATCATCTATGTAGTTTTACCCCAGTAATTTTAATCGTGTTTATACATCTACTGTATAGGCTGCACTTGCTACACAATACATCCTTCTTTATTGACTCTTGAGAATAAAGACATGCAGTAACCAGAACTGAAACAGAAATGTAGTCTCTATCTCCACATTTAAAATCTAGCTCATAGGCTGAAGGCTTAAAGAATAATCTGTACATAGTAAGTTTATTTACTTCCCACGTGTTCATATTACACCTTCTTTTTACTTCACAAGTATCTCACCTGCGTCGTTTGCGCTCAAGAGCCTGGACCAACAAATACCTCACCGAGCGCACTAAGACACGCATCTACCAATGTTGCGTGGTCAGCGTCCTGCTGTATGGTTCCGAGGCGTGGTCAACTTACGCGCGGCACGAAAGAGAGCTAAATGCTTTTCACATGCGGTGCCTGCGCAACATCCTCGGGATCACATGGCGGGACAAGGTCACGAACGAGGCGGTGCTGGCGCGTACGGGCAGCAAGTCAATGTTCCAAACACTGAAAGTCAGGAGGCTGCGGTGGCTCGGTCACCTTCGCAGAATGACAGATGGCCGCCTGCCAAAGGACATCTTATACAGCGAGCTGAGCGCTGGTTCCAGAGGCAGAGGACGACCACTGCTGCGCTTCAAGGATGTCGTAAAACGTGACATGAAGGCCCTGGACATTGCGACGGACAACTGGGAGAGGCTGGCGGAGGACCGGACGAAGTGGCGCCAGCAGCTGCGCGAAGGTGGTGACAGATTTGACAAAGACTGGATTCGTGGACTTGCTCAAAAACGTGGACATACTGTATCTCTCTGATTGCACTGTACAATCTCTTGTAGATTTTCTTGCCAATAATAATAAAATTTTACCCCAGTGATTTTAATCGTGTTTATACATCTATAGGCTGCACTTGCTACACCTGTAATACATCCTTCTTTATTGACTCTTGAGAATAAAGACATGCAGTAACCATAACTGAAACAGAAATGTAGTCTCTATCTCCACATTTAAAATCTAGCTCATAGGCTGAAGGCTTAAAGAAGAATCTGTACATGTAGTTAGTTACTTCCCACGAGTTCATATTACACCTCGGCTCTTTTTACTTCACAAGTATCTCACCTGCCAGACACGTTGTCAGGCAGATTTCACACTTCTCTCCCAATGCATTTCATGTCAAGCATGTTGGGCTCCTCCTGTGACTGCCTGACACTCCCCCGCAATTCTTCCTCTTCATCAGGGAGGACACTGTTGCTCTAAGCACTTTCACACTTTCCACACAACAGCTCCCAATTCCAGCAACAACTCTCTAAATCTATGTGGGATAACAAAAAGTACTTGAAGGCAGGGGGTAGTTGTTTAGCTTTTTGGTGTCTATATACGCCGTGATCCGGAGTCATGGATGATCCTGCGGTCCTGTGTCAGGGATCGCGAGTCCTGGATCTTGAGCCGTGGCTGTGGTCCTGGATCATAAGTCCTGGATGGATATACTCGTGGATTCATCTTCCTATTATACACACATGCATTTCCAAACATTTGGACTACCTATGTTGCAAATGTATTATCTTTTCAATTTACACACGGCATCTATTGCACGTCTGTCCGTCCTGGGAGAGGGATCCCTCCTCTGTTGCTCTCCCTGAGGTTTCTCCCATTTTTCCCTTTAAACTGTGGGTTTTCTCTGGAAGTTTTTCCTTGTACGATGTGAGGGTCTAAGGACAGAGGGTGTCGTATTGTCATACTGATATTCTGTACAAACTGTGAAGTCCACTGAGACAAATGTAACATTTGTGATATTGGGCTATATAAATAAACATTGATTGATTGATTGATAGCTTGTTCATTTCAATAGACATCTCTGCAACACAATACGTAATGAAGACAACATAATGTCAAAACGATTTATGTTGCTGAACTTGTTGCCATACTCAGTTATCTGAAAAACCACATCTTTCTTTTACACAATGATGGTTGTACTCTTTTGTCCTTTCATTCTATGCTACTTTTGCAAGGCTTTCCTTGAGGGTGAAACATGATAATTTACATGTTTTAAGGGAAACCAATACGTTAGGCATTTTTAAAAGGCAGCTTAAAACCTATCTCTTTACAAAAGCATTTGACTGATTTTACACTATTACTGCACTATTCTCTGTGATTGACATTGCACTA